GGCGGGGACGCGGTTTCGCGGGGGCAGGGGCGGGACATGAGGGGCCAAGCCGGGAAGAGGGGCTGGGGGCGCCAGGGTTAGAGGGTCCGAAGGCAGAGGGTCCCAGTCCTGCGCCTCGGGCATGACTGCGCCTAGCCCTCTGTCTCAGTAAACTAGAAACAAGACCTTCCTCTCTGGATTGTTTCGAGATTAAATGAGTTAATATATTCAGTGACTGCCACTGGCAGGTGCCCAGTAAGCGTTGGTTCCCTCCCCGTCTTAGTGGAACCCCAGGAGGGCTGGTGTAAGCAGCTTTGGGTAGGAAAGGCCGCTCTGCAGGAGGCTCCTTCTGCCTGGTCACTAACCTTAAACCCGGCACCCCCTTACTCTTCTCATCTCCGCCGGGGCACATTTTCCAAATCTTTTGGTCACATGATACTAACCCTTGTCTAACTTGTTGGTTTTTCCCGTAGATCAAAGCAGTAGAAATGGAGAATAAGCGTAGTTAATAGGACCAAATCTCTTCCCTGGCTTCCCCTTAAGTAACCTCGCAAACACACTGTGTGGATAAGACAGCATTTAAAGGAAAGATCGTGACACGTCTGCACGCAGTGGGAGACGAGGACGACTCTGACCTCCTACCTCAGTGCTTAACCGAGTTTATTTCCCCTTTTCCCTTTAAAATTTTTATGACTTAGCAGAATCTTGGGAGGTCGTTCTAGGGGAAACCCTGAGTCCATCTCCCTAGATTGCTGGCATTCTGATGAAAAGCAACTTGACTTTCTACCAACATTTTCCTCTCATGAGTATGCATTCTGAGCATGGAGCCGCTGGACCTAAGTTGGGTAACACTGGGTGAGGACTCAGAGAGGGGGTAGATACCTCTGGGGATGGGGGTGCCAACCCACCTCCCTTACCCTGGGGTACCCCCAGGTCCAGCCTGACCAGGAATTTGGGGTTAGCAGAGCTGCTGAATTTTGAAAGAAATCAGAAATCTAGATTTTCATAAGGATGTTCCTGATTATTTTTTAGATATTGGTTGTGAATTTAAAATAAAAATAATAATAAATATTTGCAATCTGATTCTTAGGTGGGCCTTGGTCTACAGGGCAGGTGGTCCTGGGTTCCAGTACCAACCAACTTCACTGACACTTCTCAAAGGAAGAAGAGGCCTGGTGAGGTCACCTACTGACCCTGGTCACCTACTACGAGGCATGGTGTCCCTCTGGGCTCATCAGGAATCTGTGCTAGGTACTGATGGATGCCAAGGTCCTGGTCCAGCACTGTGGCAGGAAGAACTATGCCCCACTCCCCCCAAAAAGATTCCACATGCTAATCCCTGGGACTGTGAATCTGCTGGTTTATTCCTCAAGAGAGACTTTACTTTAACCTGTAATTCAGGTTACCAATCAGTTGACCTTAAAATTATCCTGGATTATCTAGATTGAGCCCTTAAAAGCAGAAAAG